CGTCATTTTGTGTCATGTGGAACAATTTCACCCAATCATGTCAACATTAGAAAGATAATTGCATTCAGTGCAATTTTCAATCCCTATGACAACACGATCGAGTTTGACAACTTCATCCAAATAAATTTCAAAATGTCACTTGAATCTCGATTAAGAACACCACAACAAGATTATAAATATTATGCCTGGTAATAGATCTTCTATAGTAGAGAACAGCAACGAATCTAATGTTAACTTAAATTTTAATAATTGTACTTTCACTAACTGTACTTTTAATAAATAAATGTTTCGTTATGTTGAGTTATGATTTCTTTTTCGAAAAATTATCCGCCGAATATCCCTCGGACATTGATGAATGCCTTATAATTTCATGACAAATTTCTCAAGCTCGTTGCTTGGTAACAGCACTCAGCCTTCGGCTTCGTGCTGTTACCAAGGAACGAGCTTTCGATTGTCATGAAATTATCTCGTCTGTTATCAATGTCCTAGGGATATTACTACTGATAATTTTTCGACTGTTCTAACAACCATTCAAATTTCGTCATTTTGTGTCATGTGGAACAATTTCACCCAATCATGTCAACATTAGACTGATAATTGCATTCAGTGCAATTTTCAATCCCTATGACAACACGATCGAGTTTGACAACTTCATCCAAATAAATTTCAAAATGTCACGTTTCGGCAATGAGAATGTTCAAAGTATAAATGCGCTAATCAAAGAAACAATTCCCAGAAATACAACCTACAGTCACAAATATATTTGGGGAATATTCATGGAATTTTGCTGCGGACGAGAATATGAGTTGAATGAACATAGATAACAAATCACTCGAATAGATCAACTACTGTTAGCGAATTAGCAAAAAGTGGTGTAGAAGAACAACAATTGCTAAAAATTACTGGTCATGGCAATCAGAATTCTATAAAACCATACTTGAATCTCGATCAAGAACACCACAACAAGATTATAAATATTATGCGTGGTAATAGATCTTCTATAGTAGAGAACAGCAACGAATCTAATGTTAAGTTAAATTTTAATAATTGTACTTTCACTAACTGTACTTTTAATAAATAAATGTTTCGTTATGTTGAGTTATGATTTTTTTTTTTTTTTCGAAAAAATATCCGCCGAATATCCCTCGGACATTCATGAATGCCTCATAATTTAATGACAAATTTCTCAAGCTCGTTGGTTGGTAACAGCAATTAGCTTTCGATTGTCATGAAATTATCCCGTCTGTTATCAATGTCCTAGGGATATTGCTACTGACAATTAATTGTCCTGACAATTGACTGTCGTGACAATTGATTGTCCTCACTGCCCATTTTACATATTTCCGTAGTAGTCCAAGTATGCTCCAAGTTTTCAGATTACCAATATTAGCGCATGCGTACCTGAGTTTGCCTTTCTAAGTAACCTGCGGTTCCCCTAAAATCATGCCAAGAAGAGGGCAAAAATAGAGTTTCCATCTCTAATCAAAGTAGCAAGACTTCATGCTCGTGAATTTATAGACACTATTATAAGTGTCTATAAATATAAGTTATAGACACTTATAGTGTCTATAACTGCTTGTGAATTTATCAAAGTTTGTAATTATTAAGATTAATTAAAAAGTTTTTCGAGTGCCAGAGTGATCGTAAAATGAGAAAGTGTAATCGCACTTGAAGTGAGACAAAAAAACAGGATAATAATCTGTAAGTACAGTTTTGGTAAGTTTTAATAGGATTAATAAGGTGTTAAATCTCTGAGCTGTTGAGGTGGGCGCATCATTTGATCGCAATCCAAACAGGTACAAAATATCGGTTGGACTATAAAGCAACAGGAGTGAACAATAAAGTCTGGTTGCTCCACATAAAATAAGATTTTGCAAATAGAAAATGGATTCTGATTCAGATATATGATGTGGACGACTACACATCATATAATAGTAGAAAGAGAATTAGTTAAAGGGATACGAAAATTATAATCGTAAACTTTAATAGGCAGGGGTAATACGGGACATGAACTAATGATGGAAAATTAAAAAATAGGGGAGACGAACGACAAGAAAAATCTAATAATCAAATTTTGCAAACATAAACTTATAATAGGTAAAATCATCTTTGAGAGGATACATAAAGAAACATAAAAATCACCAGAAAAAAAGGTACAAGAAACAAATAGATCACATAACAATTAAATCTGAATGAAGAAGCTGGTTGCAAGATGTCGGAAGCTTAAGAGGTGCTGATGTGGGAATAGACAACATGCTACTCAAAGCAAAATTGAAAATGAAACTATTTAAAGTTAAAAATTTAAAACCCACAATAGAAACAAATACAACGTCGATGCTCTAAAAGAAGAAAGGATAAGAAATACATTCGCTGAGAAAATGGCAAATAAAAGAAACATGAAAGCATTTTAAAAAGTAATAAGTAATAATATATATATATATATATATATATATATATATATATATATATATATATATATATATATATATATATATATATATATATATATATATATATCGCTTATGCACGAGAAAAGTGTCACATTTCAAAAAAACTACTTCTGAGATATTTCCATTTTAATGTCATGTCGGTTTTTTCAATTTCAACTTGTAGCTCCATACAATAACAATTTACAGTAGAACCTTTACAGTGTGGTGGATCGGAATGGTCTTTACAACCTGTGCTTATATTGACGGTAAATTAACCAATATTTTTCTAGTTCTGGCCAAAAGTGTCACTTTTCATCTAAAAAAAATGGGAAGGTTTTGTAGAAATAAGACACTATGGCAAATTTGAAAATGTTATTTTATTGAAATATTAGCGATTGAGTTTGACAACTTCATCCAAATAAATTTCAAAATGTCACGTTTCGGCAATGAGAATGTTCAAAGTATAAATGCGCCAATCAAAGAAACAATTCCCAGAAATACAACCTACAGACACAAAAATATTTGGGGAATATTCATGGAATTTTGCTGCGGACGAGAATATGAGTTGAATGAACATAGATAACAAATCACTCGAATAGATCAACTACTGTTAGCGAATTAGCAAAAAGTGGTGTAGAAGAACAACAATTGCTAAAAATTACTGGTCATGGCAATCAGAATTCTATAAAACCATACTTGAATCTCAATCAAGAACACCACAACAAGATTATAAATATTATGCGTGGTAATAGATCTTCTATAGTAGAGAACAGCAACGAATCTAATGTTAAGTTAAATTTTAATAATTGTACTTTCACTAACTGTACTTTTAATAAATAAATGTTTCGTTATGTTGAGTTATGATTTTTTTTTTTTTTTTCGAAAAAATATCCGCCGAATATCCCTCGGACATTCATGAATGCCTCATAATTTAATGACAAATTTCTCAAGCTCGTTGGTTGGTAACAGCAATTAGCTTTCGATTGTCATGAAATTATCCCGTCTGTTATCAATGTCCTAGGGATATTGCTACTGACAATTAATTGTCCTGACAATTGACTGTCGTGACAATTGATTGTCCTCACTGCCCATTTTACATATTTCCGTAGTAGTCCAAGTATGCTCCAAGTTTTCAGATTACCAATATTAGCGCATGCGTACCTGAGTTTGCCTTTCTAAGTAACCTGCGGTTCCCCTAAAATCATGCCAAGAAGAGGGCAAAAATAGAGTTTCCATCTCTAATCAAAGTAGCAAGACTTCATGCTCGTGAATTTATAGACACTATTATAAGTGTCTATAAATATAAGTTATAGACACTTATAGTGTCTATAACTGCTTGTGAATTTATCAAAGTTTGTAATTATTAAGATTAATTAAAAAGTTTTTCGAGTGCCAGAGTGATCGTAAAATGAGAAAGTGTAATCGCACTTGAAGTGAGACAAAAAAACAGGATAATAATCTGTAAGTACAGTTTTGGTAAGTTTTAATAGGATTAATAAGGTGTTAAATCTCTGAGCTGTTGAGGTGGGCGCATCATTTGATCGCAATCCAAACAGGTACAAAATATCGGTTGGACTATAAAGCAACAGGAGTGAACAATAAAGTCTGGTTGCTCCACATAAAATAAGATTTTGCAAATAGAAAATGGATTCTGATTCAGATATATGATGTGGACGACTACACATCATATAATAGTAGAAAGAGAATTAGTTAAAGGGATACGAAAATTATAATCGTAAACTTTAATAGGCAGGGGTAATACGGGACATGAACTAATGATGGAAAATTAAAAAATAGGGGAGACGAACGACAAGAAAAATCTAATAATCAAATTTTGCAAACATAAACTTATAATAGGTAAAATCATCTTTGAGAGGATACATAAAGAAACATAAAAATCACCAGAAAAAAAGGTACAAGAAACAAATAGATCACATAACAATTAAATCTGAATGAAGAAGCTGGTTGCAAGATGTCGGAAGCTTAAGAGGTGCTGATGTGGGAATAGACAACATGCTACTCAAAGCAAAATTGAAAATGAAACTATTTAAAGTTAAAAATTTAAAACCCACAATAGAAACAAATACAACGTCGATGCTCTAAAAGAAGAAAGGATAAGAAATACATTCGCTGAGAAAATGGCAAATAAAAGAAACATGAAAGCATTTTAAAAAGTAATAAGTAATAATATATATATATATATATATATATATATATATATATATATATATATATATATATATATATATATATATATATATATATATCGCTTATGCACGAGAAAAGTGTCACATTTCAAAAAAACTACTTCTGAGATATTTCCATTTTAATGTCATGTCGGTTTTTTCAATTTCAACTTGTAGCTCCATACAATAACAATTTACAGTAGAACCTTTACAGTGTGGTGGATCGGAATGGTCTTTACAACCTGTGCTTATATTGACGGTAAATTAACCAATATTTTTCTAGTTCTGGCCAAAAGTGTCACTTTTCATCTAAAAAAAATGGGAAGGTTTTGTAGAAATAAGACACTATGACAAATTTGAAAATGTTATTTTATTGAAATATTAGCTACAAACTCTCATAAAAGGGTCTATAGTAAGATCGAATGATATTTTTTTCGAATAGAGACATAATCCCAGTCTTCTTTTTTTCATTTATTTTTGGTTTTTCTGTATATGCTGGTAATATCACTTTGACTTTGCCTTTGGTTCTTCGTTTTATTGGTATGGAGGAATACTCGGATCCAAATGAATCTGTATATTCTACTTTTTCAGTTGTTAAGTGAATAATGCGCAAGTCTCTAATTTTGATAACCCGTTGTGGAATTACATCGGGCAATGACTTTAAGTTTAAAAAGTCCTTATAACTCATTTCGAGAACTTGGAAATTTTTCTTTCCTATTTTTATTCCTCTCATGAGTGAAAAGTACTGATCAGGATGGAAAATTGGTGATGCTTTTCGAAACAGCTTTACTTTCTTTTCAATGAGTGAATGGGCTAAATCTCCTTTATTTTGGGTATGGCCCTTTATGAGAAACTTATGGGTTATAGATTTTAAATACGGTAAGGTGTCCACTGCATATTTACATAAGTTAAACATGGGATAGTTTTTGTGTTGCCCACAACAGTTGTCTGTGTAAAATATTACATCAAGTTTTTGACCTTTTGCATTTAAACTTTGGAGATAATTATAAATACATGTCCCAATTTCATTAACTCCACGTTGGCCTTCACCCTCATGCCACACGAAGCAGCTTACTTCATCATTTTTTAAGTCATATACTGTGAAGTTGTACACAGAGAGCTTTGACACGTAATAAAATCCTGACGCATCGCCCTGTGGGCATGGAAGGATTGCTTGTAAGTCATAAACAGCTACATGCACATTGTATGCCACTTTTTCTATCCATTTCCATTTCTGTGCGTACTAAATCCTTTTCGAGTATATGTTGCTCGTATGAGGTCTTTAATGCTTCCTTTTCTTCTCCAATGCAATTTTCGTAGCCTACGCACTGCTCACATTGGTCTTTCTTAGGAACAAAAAAGGAAATATTAAATTCCGTTTTAAAAATATTATTATACATTAGATAATTTGCAAATGTCTTTCTCTCTTCTTTCTTTCCAGCCACATAGTCCCTGTGTAAGTCGGCTACAGTTTTTCCGCCACAGATGAATTCCCTTGTTGTATCTTTTCGGCAGTAGTGGCTTTCAATGCGAGGAATAGATTTTATGTGTTCCCTAACTCCTTCCTTTACCCCCTCTTCGACACTGCGAGCACAATTTCCGTGCTTTCCACGTTTCTCACCCTCTATATCTATACCAGCAGACGTTTTTGACATTTTGCTGATAACAGTTCTTATTGGCCTATCATTAATACCAAGAGTGTTTCGAAAGAAAGGTTTACATACCCGTCGCTTTTCACCGTTCTTCTTGAAATAAAAAGCGTGGTTTCCACCCCTCAGTTGGTTTAGAGAACCGTCATCGTTGACACGCACGTAATTGTATTTCCCACGTTCTATAGCGTCCATACATTGCCCAAGAAAATCTCTTTGCCTTTGTAGGTCTCCTAGCTTCCAGTAAAATGCAAAGATAGCTGCTCGTTCCTCTTCACTGAACTTAGTGATACACTGAAACTTGCATCCTCCGCAGGCTTGGCCCATTTTCCTTGGAGCAATCTTTTTTTTCTTAGAGGAAGTTGATGTATACGCCAATCCTAGGTTCCTTCTTTCTTTCGCGATCTTTTTGTGCCATTTTGCTGGATCAGATTTCCTCTTCTTGACATTAAGTCTTTTTCGCATGTTGATTGTTTTATTTTCATCAGGTAAAAAATCAGGATCATCGTCACCGTCGGTTGCAAACGGATCTTCTTCCGAACTTTCATGGCCTCCTTCGACCGTGCTTGCATGTTTTTCCAAGGTAGACTCCAAGGTACCATGGTCAGGGGTCTTGTCACTTTTAGCCACATTTTCTGCTTCCCCTTTAGAATTAGCCTCAACAAACTCACCTTCTAAAATAAATAAATTAAATTAGTTTCATTAATTGGTTAATCAAGAGCAGTAGAACCTTCATTTTATTTTAATCAATTTGAAATAACTTAAAGTGGGGTGGGGCGTATGGTTTGAAATATTTATTTTTTTTTTAATATTCTTTGAAATGTAGGTAATATATTTATTTATTTTAAAAATAAAATAATTCTGCTATAGCTTCGAAAAAAAATCACAAAAATGCTTGATATGTTGATTTCAAACCATATCCCTCCTTAATCTAATATTTACCTTTAACAATGACAGCCCTACAGATCTGCTCAGGATCAGTCTCAACTTCAATAGACTTCATAGCATTAACCTCGACATATTCAGTCTCATTTACTATAGACTTAATTGTAATGGGCTTTATCGATTCACTCCCAATTTCTGTTGTCATAAGAGAACCAGACTTAACAAGCTCGTCTTCTGTAATAAATAAAGCAAAAATAAGGTTTTTTCTATTGATAAGAAAGAGCAATCAGACTTTCAGTATGTCTCAAACAACTAAAAATTATAATTTAAACTAACCTTCAACTTCCATATGAACAACAGTGTCCGTCTTCACATTTTTAGTCTCAACTTCTAGAGCTATCCTAGCATCGATCTTAACATTATCAGTCTCCATTTCCATATTCCTATCGCTAGTGGGCTGACTAAGTTCATGGAATGCTATTGAATGTGATGCTTGAAAGTCTTGATTATCTATCCATCTGCTGGTCTTGCTGTGTACCGTCTCCATTTCACTAGGAAGAGGGACTTTCTTTAGGTGACTATACTTATTATCTTTTACAACTTCCCAGTGCTCTTTATGTGACCCTCCTGTGTCCACAGCGGACTTTGCCAACCTCATTAACATCATTACTCGATTACTTCTTTGTCTCTCCATTATAAACTTAGTCTGCAAATAATAATCGGTTTTACATTATTTTGCCATTAACTAGTTAGGATTGCAACGTTAAGACAATTGTTCCAAATAAATAATTTCTACCAGATCGTCACATTTAAACAGGTGTCACTTTGAGACACACAGTAATAAAAATGGGCACGTGAGTATTATTAAGAAAAGTGACATATTTTAATTGATACATTATATAAAACTGTTAGATTTATATTTTATAAGCATAATTCTAAAGCAAACTGTTACAATTTTAGTATGTCACTTTTCAAGATAATATTAGAAACAAGCCACATAGCAAATTATTAGAAATTTTAAATGTGACGGTTTACTAAAAAAATCATGTACTTACCTCGACAACTTCTCGCACTCAACTAAATTATGTCGATACGTACATCAATAGACGAACGACGAACCATCCGACCTTTACACCGGCAAAGCGACATTTCCTCCCATCTCTCGGAAACTATTCGGAGTTTAGTTATGACACTACGTTCATAAAATTCGCCGTTTTTTTTTCCGATTTTTCGGTGTATTACCTCAATTTGACAAAATTTTGAAATGTGACACTTTTCTCGTGCATAAGCGATATATATATATATATATATATATATATATATATATATATATATGAAATTAGATGCTAAATGAAAAAAAGCAGCATAAGCAAACGATCTACAACACAGTGTACAACCATATGAAAAGTAACAGGAAAAGCACAAAGAAAGATACGACAGGTTAAAGATAAATTTGAAAACAGAACAAAAAATTAAAAAGAAATAATACAAAGATAGAAGAAATACTTCAAGGAAATATATGCTAAGCATGAGATAACAAAAATTATATAAGACAAAAGAAGAATCACCAGAGCTAGAAATAAATATTGGAAAAAGTAGCAGGAATGATAATAATACTAAGAAATTAATAAAAATGCCACATTTTCTTTTAAAGATATGGACTGACGACGAACTACCAAAGAAGTATAAAGAGGGATTGATATTAAAAATACCTAAAACAGTTGATGCAATAATTAGCGTGTAAACAATAACACTCTTAAGCGTCGCATTTCATGTGTGGACCAAAATCAACTGTAAATAAAAAAACTGATAGCTAACCAAGCAGAGTTCCGTGCTGAACGCTTCACCATTGACTATATTTAGTTACTTACAATTATCTTGTAACAAATAAATAAATGGAATAAAAATATTATGGGAGTTTAATCGAGTTTAAAAAAAGCCATTGACCGTGTAAAAACTTTATTAAACTTTTCTACGAAGGATACAAAGGCAAACTGAAACACTCTGGTAAAGTAACTGAAAAAATAGCCATAGAAAATGTAGTCAAACAAGGTTGTGTACTATTCCATACAGTATTCCTTATTACGATAGATTGGGATTAATGAAAAAAGTAACTATCGACAGAACAGGCATCAGACAGAAACTATTCAAACAGTTAAAAGATCTCCAATTTGTGGATAACATCTGCCTACTAATATCAGAAAGAAAATGAATGAAAATCTTTAATAGTTTTAAAAATTTTATGATGGTTATTTCTTTGATTGTCAACATTGTCTTACAACCAAAACAAAAACTTTAATATTATTTTGGTCTAATTTTCTAAGAATCATATAATCAATTACAAATTAAAATTTTTAGTCAGCTTCATGCCACTCAATATTTTGTTTGTATTGTGCTTATTGCTTTTTGTTATTTACAGAGATAGAAAAAGTAAACTTAGTTGGTTTCGGTATATTTATTCTTCGGGTAAATAAATTGTGTCTCTGTTTATTTACGTTTTAAACACAAAATCAATTTGAAATATTAAAAGCAAAACAGCCGTAATGCACATGAAGCTTTGCTAAAGGACTCCTTTACCGCATGACATATATCTGAAATCTGGATCACCGCAATAATTAAATTATGTTAAATCCATAGCTCACTTTGTGAGATAGTGTCCTTCGTCAGCTATTTGGTTGAATGATTGACTTGAAAGCGACCCAACGATCAGAGTTGGCCTAGAATAACTCGCGTCCATTCAAACAGAATTATTTTTTATTATACTTTGTTCCTTATCAGGACCGTCGTATGGTAACTTGGAGCACATCAGTTTAATCTCTTTTATAATCCTGATTCACGTATCATTTCTATTAACAAAGCAGAATAATAATCAAAACTACTTTAGCGTATAGGAGTCTAAAAAGTAAGATAAATGAATTCAGCCCTGTACTGTAAATATTATGAATATTATGAATGTATATATATATATATATATATATATATATATATATATGTATATATATATATATATATATATATATATATATATATATATATATATATATAAACAAGATTTTATTATAGTAATATTAAAAAGTGTAATGAAGTTCAACTTTTGGCCTTCTTAACTGTTACCGTCAAAAGGAAAGCAACAATTTGGGAACACAAGCCATCACGTGAAAAGACAGTGGATTTGAGGTCAAAATATGACAGAACAACAAGGCGAGTTAGCAACCGCTAGTGCAATAGAGCAGTAAATTAAAAAAATATGATAAATTAGGTAACAACCTTGTAACTCTGTCTCACCTTCTAGTATATACCTATACTTTTTGCCTTATTAAAACACTTAAGCCAGGTTTATAAACGGACATAGTACATAATCATAAGTCATAAACATAACTTTAACCACAATCATAATTCACAAGATTTAAGATTGGTTTATAACTAGACATAATACCTAACCATAATATTTAAATGGTAGCGGGTAGGTACTCTTCCACAATCCCAGTGGAGGATAGACTTACTTCAGGGATGCGATCCTGCCTTACGCGAGCCTTGATTCTCTCTCAACTCCTGTGGAGAGAAATCATGTCCTAACCCCATTCCTACCCAATACCTACTATCCTACCAATTTCCCAAACCAACTCACCAACCCGCCTGGCAAGCGTGGTGTTTAAATGCCAAAACCCCCTCAGCATGAACAGACATTCAAGAAAACGGCCCTCAGTCCCCGGCAGCTCGCTAGTTCCCGACTAAGGTAGCGGTAGGACTCACGGACAGCGGGTAGAGGGTGCGAAGAATCCCCGGGATGTAAGAGGCTACCAAGAACGACGAACGTTGCACATAATTACGTATAATGTAAGAACTTTATCTAAGGATGAAAAAATGACAGAACTGGAGGAAGAACTCAAACATGTGAAATGGGATATTATAGGAATTAGCGAAGTCAAAAGAAGAGGTGAAGATCAGGTCAAACTAAAATCAGGAAACATATTCCACTATAAAGGGGAAACGGAATCGACAACTGGAGGAATAGGTTTATTAGTACACAAAAAATTACAGAAAAATATACAGAGCATTGACTGCATTTCCCCAAGAGTTATGTATATAAATCTAAGACTAAATAAAAGATACAATCTGAAAATTGTACAACATACCACTGGTTCTTGCATTTGTCGATTACGAGAAGGCTTTTGATTCTGTAGAGTTTGAAACAATACTGGAAGCCCTAAATCAAAGCCGAATAGATTACAGGTACACGACACTAATCAAAAACATCTACCAGAACGCTACATCAAGTATACGACTGCACAAAGACACAGAAAAATTCAGCTTAGGTCGAGGAGTTAGACAAGGAGACAATATTTCACCAAAATTGTTCACGGCAGCTCTAGAGTCAATATTTAAGGGTACTCAATGGCAAGATATGGGCATCAATATAGATGGAGAAAGATTAAATCACCTAAGGTTTGCAGATGATGTTGTATTAATCGCAGATAACTTACATGATACAGTTTCTATGATGCATTCGCTTAAAAGTCTGTCTGAAAGAGCAGGATTAAACATAAACTTTGAGAAAACTAAAATTATAACAAATCTCGTAATGAGTGGAAATATAACTATTGACAATAATACCATACAACAAACAGACACTTACAAATATCTGGGACACGAAATCAAAATAAGCAGAGACAATCAAACACATGAAATACAGAGGCGAATAGGTCTAACATGGGCAGCATTTGGCAAATTAAGCCATATTCTAAAAAGTTCAATTATCATGTGTCTCAAGCGAAAGGTTTATAACCAATGTGTTTTACCTGTACAAACTTATGGAGCAGAGACTTTAACACTCACGCAAAAATCTGCGAATAAACTTAGAGTTACACAACGAGCCATGGAACGTGCAATGCTGAACGTGAGCCTTCGAGACCACATAACAAACCAACAAATCAGGCGAAGATCAGGAGTTCAAGACGTCATCGAAAGAACCACGACGCTTAAGTGGAACTGGGCAGGGCACTTAGCCAGAACACAAGATGGACGGTGGACAAGACGTATTATGGAATGGAGGCCCAGAAATTATAAAAGAAGCCGAGGACGACCACCGACTAGATGGACCGATGACATTAAACGTGTAGCGGGAAACTGGCTACAAGCGGCCCAGTGTAGAGAACACTGGAAAGAACTGAGGGAGGCCTATGTCCAGCAGTGGACGCGATTGGCTGATTGATGATGATGATGATAATATTTAAAAACTACTTCAGAAAATACAAACCTAACCAAATTTTTATAGATCTTGAAGAATTTTTTCTGGTCTTTAGATTCATAGAAAAGTGAAATAATTTTAAATAAATATGAAGATTAATAGAAAAGTTGCTTTGGCCATGGCAGCAGTCCCACTTTATTTAACAATTGTAGCGACTATATCTGCCAGAGTTCTTAACAAGCAAAGAAGAAAAAAGTGATAAGGAACAGTTCTTTAGTTTTTTACGTTGGATTACACATGCGCATATTCCAACAATTCCATAATGTTTAATACTTAATTCATAAATGTTGAAAGTTACCAACTTTGAAGGTCACGTTTTAAGGACTAAATTTATGTTTTATGTATTACGAATGCTTTTAAATGGGTACATTTATTTATTAACTTTCAACATTATGCTTATGTAATAAGATTATGGT